TCTTGCCTGTCCCACTTTTTGACTTCCGCTTACTAAACTTGGCTTAGCCAGCCTGAACTCTTTTTCAGCACTGTTGCCAGCCTATCACCCAGAAGGGCAGTACCCTTAAGCAGCCAGATCACTGGTAAAGTTTTGCCAGGTCTCAGAGTGACTGCTAAGACCACGTGCCTCCGTCTGCCTTTCTCCAGCAGCAAAACTTAGAAAGTCGGTGCCAGAAACAGAAGCTCCACATTTTTCTAAATAAATCCCTGCTGTTTTTTCTTCTTCCTCATACAGATTTATCTTGTTTTGTCTTCAAGGATGTAAGATCAAACCACATGAATAGCTGCTAATTTTCTCTCTTCCCCACCAGGACTGTTAATACTACCTAAAGGAAAGGCGAGAGGTGGGGGTATATGACATAAAGGTCTCACTTCCTATTTCATTTGCACTTGATTTTTTTTCCTTTTCCAAGAGGAGGTTAAAAAAAAGATCTGAAAGGTCACTGTTTGCCATGGGATTAGGCAGGTCTAAATCTCTACAGATATGGAAATCCAAACCTCCTTTACCTTTTTGATGTTTTACAGTGACAGGGTCATTTTAACCGTCTTGAGTCCTTCAGCTCATTTATTTCATTCCAACTAACGCAGAGCACATGTATGTGGGGACTAAACAAACACCACCTGAGTGTCAAATGATGAGGCCTAAAGACAAAGAGAGAGATGCCTTGGGCTTACGGTTCTCATAATCTGTACGTATTTTCACCAGTTTCTCTCAGTTTTCTATACTGGGGGTCAGACTCACCTGGGGTCCTAAGCTGGATCCAGACTACAGAGCTCCTTGAAGGCCAGATCCAGCCTGGGGCATGGGGATGGCTGCTGTGGTCACCCAAGTGGCCACAGCAGGTATGGAGGTGGCGAGGGGTCTAGCAGCAGCAGAGACCTGGGGCGCAACAAAGCTTCTGGAATAGCTACCAATGGTCACGATCACCTGGGCCCAAGGGCCCCACATGTGTGGGAAGCTACATCCCCCGCAACTTTTAGTAGCCCAGCCAGCTGGATAGAAAGTCTCCATGGAGTTTGACACCCCTGCTCTATACAATTATGCTATGGTTCAAGATATCATATGACCAGGCTACCAGATCCATCACTGCCTACCCTGCTGTATATCAGCAGCTCTACAATACCTCATTAGGAACTGATAAACACAATTTTTCTTTTTTTGTGGTAGGTTTCTCTATCACAGACACATCCCCCATTTCACATAGTCAATTCTATCTCTAGCACTCCAAGCAAGAGACATTTGCCCCCTAGCCCTTTAGCAGGTCTGTATGATCCTGTTTCCAGCACTATGGTTTTGTATAGCTTAAACCTTCCTCCAAGCACACACACATTGTTATCTAGGCAAAGTTAGACCCAAACGACAGAGTTCTGGCATCAGAGCTGTACTGGCAAGTGAGTTCAAAATACTAGGAGGTAGTTTCTGATGGGAAATGTTCTGCTGTTCATAAGCACTAGTAGAAGCACTTTTTTCATCAGCAAAAGCTGTGTCTACACCAGAGATGGTTAAAAAGGCCAAGTCTTGGGGGTTGTATGTATGTCCTATCATGGAGAGGAGAGCCCAGGAGGACAGGTACAACTCAGAACACAGCCCAATTCAAACAGGCAGGCTGTTGGGTAATTTCTTTTTATCTTTGGTCATCTGGTACCTCACGTAGAACCACTCTATTTTCTTCCTGCAGTGCAGTCCCATAATCAGTGAGCAGCTGTGGAGCTTTGCCATCAAATGCTTCAATATTCCACTTTGAAGAATTAAACTTGCAGATCTATTCGCTTAAGCCCAAAGCCACACCACGATTCTGGTATCAGCACACTGGTACATGTCCCCCTATCACAGAGCACTCCTCTGCTGTAACAAACACTACATGGATGAAGCTGGAGAAATGGTAAGCAAGGAGGATATGGAGGGTACGTATACAAGGACAGACATCTTACCAAACTGATACCAAGACAATACACTAGGAGACCAGAGGGCTTCTGAGAAGGGACTGGAGGACCAACAATATGATTATAGTTGTAACTGGCTGTGATAGCGTATTTTCACTGAGGTTATGTCAGGGTAGCAGAACTTCAGAGCCACCACAGGGTAGCTGACTCACCAGACAGCAGAGGCAGAATTGGGCAGATGTGCAAAAGTGGAACTCATTATACACAGGACTAAATTAAGCCCACAATAAGGAAAAAGCTTACATCACTGCTTTACATCAGCAGACTGCTTCTACACCAGTCTATTTCTATGGATGCAAAGACAGGCAGAACATTACAGTCCAAAGGCCTAACACTATTCTAACAGCTTTTTGTTTTGTTTTTTTACTGGTCTGTGCTGCCCCATACCCTCAGTCACTTAACTGTGTCACCCTCCTCTGTACCTTCAAAGTTTAACATGTGTACTTTGGCTTAACAGCCCTATCTACAGTCAGGAACAGAAGAAAGACTAGGAAAGCATACATATGCAGGAGTTCTGGTTTGTGGCATCCTGGCAAAGACCCGAGACAAATGCAGAAATAACATTTAACTCTGACTACTCCTATGAATTTCTTTAAGCAACTAAGGACATTCATCTAAAATCCACGAGAAGTGGTGCTGGCTCCTATCCTGGGGGTCTTTAAGAGGAGGCTTGATGCCTACCTAGCTGGGATCATTTGAGCCCAGTTTTTTCTCCTGACCTGGCAGGGGGTCAGACTTGAAGATCTATAAGGTCCCTTCCAACCCTACTTCTACAAAATACCACAGAGGACTCTTGTCAACAACTTTGCAATTTCCATTCTGCACTGGAAGGAAACCAACCCATTTCTAGCTCTTTTGCAAAATGGCACTGTATCAAAGTCTTCCATTTCCAGATCCGCCTCCCAGAGTCCCTATTTCTCTGGAACTGACCAAAGTTTAGCTCCAAGCTAACAAACTTTGCCAGTGCAAATTCTGTTGAAATAGATATAATTCAGCAGAACATATTGGCTTCAGTGAATCAGCACATTTAAAAAATCCAGCCAAAATAATCTGATTAGCTCTATCCCTTCTCCTCCTCCCCCAAATGCAGCCTACTCAGGTTAAACTACGAAAGTTTCACAAGGGTTCATTCTGTTCTCTACAAGGATGACTGTAGGAACATTTAGGATATCAGTATGTGTGCCTTGATCCCCTTGTTCATCTACTACAGAAGTGTCAAACTCACCTTGTGCCCTGGGCCAGATCCAGACCACGGGACTCTTTGTGAGCCAGATGCAGCCTGGGGCACAAGGAAGTGGCAGCATAAGCGGCTCTTGCTCTAACCTGGAGCAGAGTGACATCTCCAGCACAAAGGGAGCTGAGAGGATATGGCTGTGGCAGTAGTAACAGGCAAAGTGGCTGGGGGGCAACTTTGGTTATGTCTGCCTTTGTTCATCCTCCTGCTGAAGACTGCCATGTCCAGAGGGCCCTGGATTATGCAGCAGACCACCTCCCCTCTCCTCAGCCATGCCTCCTAACTTCTGGTGGCTTGCCAGTAGCCCAGGGGACCAGATAAAGGAGCTGTGGGCTGAATATTTGACACCCATGATCTACTATATTTTACACTCCTTTCTGCCCACTAGCATCCATTGCTAGCATCTGGTGCTGTTAGTTTTTTGATTGCCGCTTGTTCACTATACAGACTGAGTCTTGCACGCTCTTTTGTGACACCGAACATACCCTTTTGAAAATTAAAGCCATAATTTGGATGTACACTACACTATGCTGCAGCTCTCTCACTTCTTTTCTCTTAGTTTAAACCTACTTTTGATATTCAGTTTGTTGGATTAAAGCCCCAGGTTGATTTTGGCTCCAGTTCAGTCAAAGTGTCCCAATTCCTCCCCACCTACTGGAAGAGCCTTGGTTGGATCCAAGCAATCTGCTGCTGTGACTGTATCTTTGCTAGCAAAGCAGGGGCCAACCTTTTTTGGCAGGTGTGGCACAAATTAGCCCTATATCCTTCTTGGGTGCCACCCAGATCCCCTTCCCCAATCTGCTGCTCTGCTTTCTGCTCCCTGCTTCATCTGCCACATATTACACACAGAGGCTGCCTGTTCCACTTGTGCCACAGGTTGGCCACTCCTGTGTTGGTACATGACCTGGAAAAGTCAGATGCCAGAACTGAACTGTTTTCATTGTCCAGGCTAAGTGATAAACAAAAAGAAACAGAAAAAAGAAGAAGTGAAGCCTTAATTAGAGTTTACCTTTTATTTTTAATTGTAGTAAATTTACTCTACTGTCGCATGGGTGAATCCTATTTAAAAACACTTAATTATGCTTCTTCAATCCCCCTACAAAACCTAGAATTGCAGAGAGGGAGACAAGAAAACAGGCTCAAACAAAAATGATGTTTTTTAAGGCTCCTGCAGTAACAGTTTCAGAAGAAACCTTGATTCCCAGAGACAAAGTGAAAACTATTCCAGCAGGGTTTTAAAGAGCAGCATGTTTATCTGCACAATTCAGGTTATAGGATCAAGACCCTGATTTGGGCAAAACTCTCCCCATTGCTCCAGCACTGGTGCATCTGCAACAGCTGGAGCATCAGCACAGGCTGGCTACTGGCACTTTCTGCAGGGACACTCCCAACAATGCAGGCGGCGCTGGAGCTACAGGAGACTGCCAGACACCTCATGATGCCTTACGGAGAAAAATTAAGAATTCTCCCTCCTGGGCTTTCCTCGTGACTTTCCCATTTCGGCTACCACATGCCAGCCTCCCTCACATTTTAAAGAAACCACCCCCTAGTTTCAGCGCGGAGAAGGCCTTGCAACACCCTAGTATCCCTCACCAGTGAAGACCGGATTCCATCCACCCTCTGAATTAAAGGATAAAAGCTGTGAGTCTGTAAGTAATCAATAGTCACCAAAACACACAAAATTCCCACCCACCCCTCTCTCATCTCCAACCTTCACGGAGGCGTCTGTCCCTGCGGAAAACCACAAGGAAAAAAAAATCCCCTGGGAAGTAAACCAATACCTTCCGTCGCTTCCTGTCGTTTTCAAACTCCAAACCCACGCGATCCCGTCTGGCTCCGGGCACTGCCAGCACCTATCATGCGCCGGGGCCAAAATATTCCTTTTGTAACATGGGGTGGAGCCAACCTGAGCCCCACAAAGCTGGGAGTGGGGGGAGGAGGGGGGTACGTGCGTGTGCACACACACAGGCTCTCACACACACACACACGTCCTCAAAGCGCGCGCGCGCGCGCACACACGTGTGCCCGGGGCACAGGCGCTCACACGGAGTTGCAACTTGCCCTCGGAGGCTCCCCGCCCTCTCCCCCTGCCCCCAACCCCGCACGAAGGTGCCCGGCACCCCGGGGGGACGCGTGGGGCCCCCAAACCCCGCTCACCGCTGGGCCGCGCACGCGTAGGAGCCGGCTGCCGCCTCAAGGCCGCTTCCGGAGGCGGCGCCTGACGGGCAGGGAGCACGGCCAATCGGCGGCCGGGCCCGGCCCGCGCCTGTGCCCCGCCCCGTCCCCGACAGCCAATGGGTTGCGGGGTCCGCCCTCGTTGCAGGGGCCCGGGGCAACTGCTACTTCTTGCGGCGCCGCGGGAAGCGACCCACGTCGACCTAGTTCCCCTTCCCGCGGCTCTTCGTCCTCCAGGGTCTTACAGGGGGTTGGACACGCAGTAGGATGCAGACACGGACATTTGTTTTTGTATTCCAAATCACGAGCAAGGACCCAGCTCTTCGACGTCTCCTGGTGACGTCTGGTGGGGATTTCCCTTCGATGAAGCAATAGTTGCCAGGTTCCTTTATCTTCTGGCATATTTCTCATGCTGCTGACTCACACGGACTTCAGTGGGAGTGCAGCGGGGGAGTCTGCTCCAGGGGTGACCGTGATGTGCCGCCACACGCCCCTCCTGGGCTAGGGGCTCCTCAGCCTCCAGCTGTGCCCCCGGGTCTCTGGTCCCTGTCCCTGTCCTAAGGCCACGTGAAATTCTGCCCCACCAGCCTCCAGCTGTGGCCCTGCCCATGTCTGGGCCAGTGAGACATTCAGCCCCCTCTGACAACTGCTGTTCCTGGGCTGTGAACTCCCCAGCTCCCTGCCCATCCTCCTGAGCTCCAACCTCTGGCCTCTTGGTCTTTCCCATTCAGCCCCTCCTCTCAGGCTTGCCTCATGCTCACTTTTTCTGGGAACTTGCACCTCCACCCATACTGGTCCCTAGGCCCTCTATTCCTATAGCTTCTTTCTTTAGACCAGCTGGGGCCTCCCTACCTCCCCCACAGTCTCCTCCACAAACCACCAGTTAAAACTAGTCGCAGTAGTAAGCTGTCTGGTAGACACCACCCTCTCTCCGTCTAAACCTAAATAAGCGCTGCCTGCCTGCGTAACCCAGCCTCTCTCTACCCCCAGGTAATATTCCCCCATTCCCAGGCCTGCCGAGTTGCTTGTTTCAGCTCCAGTGTTATCTCAGGAACTCCTCTCCCTATGGCTCTTGAGACAAGACTATCTGATCAGCTCAGGCCCCCGATTTATGTGGTTCAAGCCTAGCCCCCTTTCTGATCAGGTGACTCTCCAATTGCCTCCCCCCCCCCCCCCCA